GTAAGCTCATTTGAAAAAGCCTCCTTTTGTAAAGGTCCTTTTCTCTCTTTTTGGCACTAATATTAGAAAATATTGGAAATGCGAGCATGCTATTGACAGATGTAGTCTGTCTTTACCATGTTGATCCCATGTTAACAGAAGATCATTTTCTGACAGTCTGACAACAAGGAAGAAATTGTGGGATCAAATAACTGAGCCAGTTAAGATGGAAAGCCCTGGCAAGAAAGCTAACAAGGCAGTAGGTCTCTCCAAAATCCTGCTAAAAGGAGGGGGGAAGAGCATAGCATCAGGAAAAAAACAAACAAACAAAAAACCCCACACTCTTTGCTATGAAAAATCAGTGATGCAAAGGACCACACCTCAAAAAAGCAAATGAAAAAACGAAAAAGAATTGTTTAATCTTCCTAAGTATAAGAAATAAAGAATATGAATACACCTAGACTACAATAGCAGTTCCTGTATGACTAAAAGGAAAAACAAGGGTAATTAAAAAAAAGTTACAAAGTGAAATGAAAAGGCATGAATATAGCATAGGGAAAACAAACGTGGAGAAGTAGTGTGGATTAAGCCCACCAGTAACTTTCTTTACAAACTTAGATTAAGAATTTGCAACTAAATTTCTGTCATTTATTTCAAGGAAAGCAAGGGCAAGCACAAAGACCAATTTTTGTAGCATGCCTTCAGGTCAGCAGGAGTTGAGCAAAACTCCACCTCTTCATCACTCTTGACTACAGGAATTACAGTTAATCAGTTTGAAAGAGGTGTATGTTTAGTCTTGAAAGTGACCTGCTGAAGAATCACCTGCTGAGCGATTCTACTAGCTGTATATGAGGCACAATTAAAAATTTATTTTCCTACAAAAGTAACTCTTCTTTTGTGCTCAAGGTTCAGTCTTGGTATCTCAGAAGACTGCACAGCTTAGGATGTCAGAGAATGTTATAGATCCAAGCCTGTTTACAGGCAATAGAACACTTTTTTTTTCATTGTATGATATTGAGACTTAATGTATAAGATTTAAAGCTGTTTTCAGAATGGCACTATAAGAAAGCTATCTCTTGCAGTACTCAAGACCTTATATTCTGATATTCATGGCAGCATGACGAAAGTTGATTTTTCAACATCCCTGACATCCCAGAATACCTCCCTCAAAGTTATCACAATAAACTTGGAGTTTCAAGTTATGCCAGTGTAGATTCCAGTAAAAGAATATCAAGGCATCAGAGAAGTTGGCTGCTGAGGGCACTAGCACCTCCTGCCTCTCCCCATGCTACCAAGCAAGAGAATAAAAAGCAAAATGAGTGAAGCCTGTGCCGTTAATTAAGGGTTTCTTGCAACTGAAGTCTGTGTAAGCACGAATGGAGAATCAGTCATGAGATCTGCAGTCTCAGCTAACCAGTTATTCAAATCACTGCTTTTTCTGCAATGCTTACACCAATAGGAATCTCACTGGGTTGTTTTGTGGGGACACATCCAGCACTTGTTAACATACAGAGATACAGAACTTCACTACAGCGCGTTACTCTGCGAAAAGACACCATGGCCTTTTAGAGCATCTATGTAGGGTGACGAATAAACATTAAAAAGAGTAAGCGTCTTGATTGTATCAGTTTAACCGAGAGACAGCCCTAGAAATCAGTATAATTACTCTTTGCAAGCTCAATATATAGTTTGTGGGGATAATACAGATGAATTTTCAACTAGAGATCAGCTTAAGACCAGATACCAATGTTAGGTGAGGCTGTGGCAAAAACCCTTTTTGGCAGAATATAAGTATAGTATGGAAAGGATTCAGCTTCAGAGTCTGAAGACAGGTTGTATGTCTGGTTGTCCAGGTGTTTATCACTTATATTTTAAGTGAAGTGCTAACAGGAGCACTTTGCGGTAAGATTAAATGATGTTTTCTTAACTCTTGTCAAGACCAAAACTGAGCAGGAAAGAAATTCTAAATGGTGGGAAAGTACATAATGGACTCCTAAGCATCTTGCACATGAAACAGGCGAGGGGGGAAAAAAAAAATCCCATACAATCATGGCAAGACCACTTCCTCCTCAACACAAATGTTTCAAATGTGGCTGATATCAAGGAATTCAGCAATATAGGTCTGGGCCTGATCTTTAAAACATAAAATGCTTTCCAGCTTTTATTTTATGAAAGAAAGAAGGTCTTCTTACATAGTAAGATATAAGTGAACAACAACAACAAAGTTTAAGTTCTGCAGTCTTCTCCTCTCATTTTTCCAATAGCAGCTTCAGTACTGTTGCTGAAACTCTTAAAAATGAAGAAATACTTTCAAGCCAGAAAGTTTGCTTGCTCTTCCTCCCTAATTATCACAGTGGAGCCAGTAAAAGATACTACAACTGACTATAAGCAGTAATGTCATTCTTTAGATCATTTACACAAATCTCTTCTGGCAAGAAATGAATTATTCAGAACAAAGATCCAGAATGGGGTCCTAGTCTGATCTTTTATATGATTAATCAAATTTATTATCACTGAGGTAGCTGGAATGTACTTAATCAATGTTAAGTAATATCATAAGATTTATGAACTGCAGACTCAGTTTTATAACGTTTAAGGGCTTCAAAGGAGCTGCTGATACATTAAATGCACCAAGCCCTTCTTAAGGTCTATAGGAAATAAAATGCCAGATGATGATGACTACTGCAGGTATCATTTATAGGCTCCCCAAAAGATCCCTTTTGATTGAAGACAAAAGCCCAAATGGGATTTTGTGAACAGTGTGTAAGCTGAAAGGGGAACAGAAAGATCCCTCATTCTTAAATATTGGATAAGTGATCAGAAATACACAGAAGAGAGTCCGTTGTTCTGAATAAGCATAACAATCATTATATAATCCACCCTTATTTACAGCTTAATGGCTTGGAATGGCTAAAAGGGGTGAAATGCGAGATCCAAATAAAACATGGACAATTAGGTAGCTATATTAACGTCTTCCAAGCATGAAGCCCATTTCTAAAAAAAAAAAAGTCATTTAAGTATTTGTTTACAAAGACGATCATTTAATCACACAAGACAGTGAAGTGGAAGTTCTGTGGCTTGATTCTTCCTATGACAAATCTTTCAACTATTAGAGAGTAGGAAAAAAACAAACCAAACAAACCCAAACCACTCTCCTGAGACCAAGAAAGAAAGGTTTATCATTTACATCTTCAAAGAAGCATTGGAAAATACACTTCAGTGAGCAGACCAGTACACCACAGGATAGGGAGAAGGAATAGATACAGTCACAAGTACTTCAGTATGGACTGATTCTATACAGCTCTTTAAACAAAAACATCAAATACCAGATGTGTAATTTCAAATCTCACACCTTCTCTAAATGACAATTGTTTCAAGCAGTACTGGGTATATACTTAGGTATTCAAAGTCAGTCTAAAAATTTTATTTTGAAATTCAAGCTTGTTAATTTTTTTGAGCACTTACTGCTGTGAGAAAGCTATGACTGCCATTACATCCACAACTAAGCATTTCTTCCTCCCCTCCACCCCAAAAGGATACTTTTTATTGAAGAAAAAGTGCAAATTTCACAAGACTTACTTCAATCTACTTCCTGCCACACACAAAAAACTGCCATGTATCCATATACATGTGTGCACATGTGTGTGCGTATACATCCATATATAGGCCTGTATGCACATGTGTGTGCGTATACATCCATATATAGGCCTGTATACACTCACAAATACACGTACAGACTTTATCTTTATTTAATGAAAAACAAGCACCAGAGACTACGCTAATAAAATCAACAATTAATTGTACCATGATATTTCCTCTCATAGCTCTCTTTCCAATTGAAGCTTCTAATCATATCCTTGCAAACAGAAGGATTCAAGAATCTGGATGCAAGTATGTCCACCAATATGTTTTCATTTGTCAGCACCTAATCTAATGAGCATTTCCCCTAAGTCATTTAAAATTATCACATTTTCTAGTGTATATGTGGGACATTCACCAAATCCTCTCTCTGCTAATTAATCATCTCCAAGAATGATGCATACAACTCAGGCAATAGTTTGTTTTATTAAAACATAAAACTACAAAAACATCCCTCAAATGACTATGATGAAAATGATAAATTTTATTTTTAAATTCTCCATTTCTCTCTTTCAGACATAGTTGCAATATCCTACAAAAGAGGGCAGGCAAGGGAATCATGATTTGGATTTTGATAAAATTTAGGAGCTACATTTTAAAACATGTTAGTCACAAAGTTATCATTAACTCATGGAGACAGTCAGGCCTATAAAATACATTTACAAGCCTATTGAAGGCTATCATAATCGCTATACCATTAAGCCAAAAAGGCAAACTCATTTGTGACTCAACATCTGCATGTTCAGGAAGCAGTTCTTAACAGCAAAAAGCAGAGCAGAGCCAATACTGTGTTCAGCTGCTCACTAGAGCTTCCTGTTCCAACAGGAATTACTCTACTTTATTCTCCGTCTAGAATCACAGCTACCTTAACAGGTAACATACCATGCAGTCTCAAAACAAAACCTGGGTTGCTAAGAACAAGGAAACAATAGGAGAACACCTTCATTACAGAACAGCCACTAAGCTACAAAGGCAGGTATTCACACTGGAGAGCTCACATGCCTTTAAGCCAGACATAAGCAGGGGGCGGCGGGCAGGAGAAATCTTTACATGCCCTGGCAGCTCTAAGAAATGGAATACAGGCATCAGCTGAGTTAATATTTCTTTAAGGTTTTTCTCTTTTCCTCCTAGGAGGAGCTCAGCCACATCTTCCAGACCAGACCATACCAGACTGAAAAAGCCTGTCTTTCTAAAAGACTTTTAAAGCTTCATTTTTAAATGTCTCCAAGGTAAGAAATATATATATATATATATGTGTGTGTGTGTATATATATATATATATTCAGTTGCATGCATACATTATTTGTAGTCAGCACTCACTTCACCTATTCCCCATTTCAGCCAAGCAAGCTCTTGTTCCTCCAAAATACAGCGGCATTTACCTCACTGACCTTGGGACTGCCTTCCTCCAGTATTTCTCCCTCATCAGTTTGCATGGGAACAGGATCTGTGCAAAACTCTGCAGAAATGCAAAATACTGCCTAAAAGACAAAAGAGAAATATATATGAAGAGAATGATTTTTCCACGTTAAACAGTGCTAAGTAATATTGCAGTGAACTGCAGTGAACATAAATGATTACTGTAGACTATGACCTTGTAATGTTCACATTCTGTACACATATGCTGAACACATATGTTCTGCACAAACAAGTGAAGCAACTGTTATTCAGGGTAAGTTAAAAAAAAAAAAGGCACTACACAGGAATCTCCTTTTTATGTTAAAATATGTCATTGGCGAGTATTTTATATAATAATTATGTTTACTCATTGAAGTTATGGTTAGTAAGGAACAGTCACATGGAATACGCAGCATTGAGCAAATCTTTCTAACTAGAAAACAGCTTTTGTGCAATACAGGCTTCACAGATGCAGTTTACAGGCACAGAAAAGGTTATTAATCTGAAAAGCTATTAGACTTCCAGTGATCCTACAGTACCTCTGGATTCTAACCTTAAGGAATTTCCCCTTGACTCCATTTAGAAATAAATAGATTCTAGGTTCTTAATGGTTCCTGACACTGATAAAGAGTCACACATGAAGTCATTATTTCCAGCCTAACCCAGGTCCGTAACTCCCAGTGTTTCCAGTATTCAACACTACATGGTAACATATTTTATAACGTTTGATGAAGTCAGTGCAATTCCAGCTGAACAAAGCCTGCACTCTGAACTCCAATGCTTGCAATTCTAAAGAAATTCATGGAAGGCTGCAAGAAGGTTAGGGAGAATATTTGGCTACAAAGCTTAAGAGTGTCTTCTACTTCAGAGGATGAGCTGTCTTTCACAGCTAAGAGGTCAAATAAATTAAGTTGGGAAATCAAGCTAGAGATCAAATATACCAGGGGCAAAATGCAACCTACCAATTGATCCAGCCATAATATTCCAGCTCCATAGAAAATACCAGTTCACAACTTGTTTAAAACTCACTGAAAGCCAAGAACTCTCGGCCTTTAACAGCTGTCCTTCTCAAGAGGCTGCAACTCCTCAACCGGCGCCAGCATTAAGGGCCATTTGGAGTCTCTCTGCATTTTGTATTTGCAGCACAGCTGCAGAGCGGCAGGATCTGCCTGTACCTCTACAGCAGCAATGGCAAACCTGGAAAGCAACAACTTTGGGAATGCAAATAGCAATGAGGTTTAAAAATAAATAAGGAGAAAGCCTGGAAGATGTTCTTCTAGGCGAATGTCTTCCAGATTAAGATTTAAGCCTCTACATAAAGTAAGGCTGCCAGCCTGCACTGCCAGTGACTTCTGTAAGCAGTGTGTAGGTAGATAACGCCTTCCATGGCTATTAAACTGAATCATGGAATGAAGAGTATCTTTTAAAAACAAAGGCCTGAAGCTACAGAATGCTACACCACACTTACCAAGCCTTACAACCAGCAACCTGTTATGTTCTGTGACACCATACACTCTCACTCAGTTCATTCATATGCTCAGTTCATATTCATGCACTCAGTTCATTTTTCAGTTCATCATCAAGACTTACAACAGAATAACTTCTCTTTTGGGAAAAGAGGAATGAGGATAAAGTGGAAAAACTCTCTCCAAATTCTTACCCTCCTCCATCACACAGAGTATGACAGACTTTGGAAAAACATGACTACTACTGTGGTTTGATTTTTTTAGAAAAATATGATTATTTCCCCTATTCCACAAATGCTGAACCTCTAAACTATTAAGCAAGGATAACCAGCAACTCTGGTTCTTTCTTACATTCAAAGAAATGGTTCAACCATCTTCTCAAGAATGTCATTTAGTATCATACACAGAGATTTTAATCAGCACAGACCTCGGATACAAACATGCATTACTGCACATGAAATTAGATTCTATTAGCACTGTGATGATATATGCGTTATTATTTTTTTTTAAACTGAGAGGACTCTACCTTTTGCTTGCATGAAAAGATTCAGACTAACTTGCAAATACACTTGCAGGGGAGTTCAAGAACTGGATATGGACAGACTGCATATATATACCAACTAGTAATTTAGGAAGATATTGCATGTTATCCTTTTAGTGCCTTAATGCACTAATCAGAAGTTAATGCTATCAACGGTGGGGGGGAAGCTTTTAAATATGACACAGAAAGATGGTCTGGAAACTTCCTGATCTTTTGCCTCCTTTCTGAAAGCCTACCCTGAAAGGGAGGGGACATGATGGATTTGTATGGGATTAATGGGAGATAAACCTAATCATCAGCCTGGACCTTGCAGTTTGTCACCTAGGGAGGTTAATATATACAAGACTGGAGCTTATTACTTTAACAAGAAGATTAACAAAAAGAACAACAACTCAAATGAAGTAACGTATGAAACACTCCTAAAATAATGTAGGGTTAGGCTTTGTAGGCTGTAGGAGAGCTTTACTCTGATCTCATGAAGCAGTGAATATTCTGACCACGAGCTGCATAGGAGAAATGTCCTTTCCAAGACGAAGCCTGACCAGGACAGAGTGCCAGGAAATAGACAATTGTGGAGCTGGCTAAGATACTCTCCCTGCAGCACATAATCAATAACCTTAAGTAGCAAACGCTGAACAAGACTTCACCATATACATGTATGCCAAAAATTTGTTACGTTTGACAAATAATTCCTCCTGGACGGCAAGAGCTCATGGGCACAGCGAGAGCAGCCCCTGTCCATGGTACTCGACCACACTGAGCTTCTGAGGTTGACTGGGGAGCTTCCGGGGCAGGGAGATTCTGGGACTTTCTGAAAAGAATTTTGCAATATCGGATTCAAGTAATTGGGAAGCTCCATAAATTGCTAACTGGACAATTTGAGGCTTTGGTCAGAAGAAGCATCAAACTGTCTAAGGTTTGACAACTAAAAAAAAAAATCTCTTATCTTTAGCCTTCTCCAATTTCCCTCCATACCAAAAGGATGGGAAGTAGCAACATGCAACACTAATTTTTACACACTGCTCCGGGAAAATGACAATAAAACTACCAACCAAAATGATTATATAAGAGAAAAAGGAAAGAATTAAAAAAAAAATGTAAAGAGAAGGACTATGAAAATAAAGATAAGCAAGCCCTCCCATACAAGACAGTTTAAATACACTGGACCTATCCATAGCACAGAGAGCACAGTAAGAAAAACAGAGGTTTAAAAAGGCTCAGTAATTTACTGCAAAAAATCACACATGGAGGAAAAGAAAATCCACTAAAAGCTGTCTCACAGCTAGTACAGGAAGACCATAAGCCACAGATTGCTGGAGGGATTGCAAGAGGAAATTTTACTGAACACTATCCTTTTAGTGTATTTTTCCCATGCCATTTGCTTCTGGCACCACGAGAAGACAGGAAAGCAGCAGAACTAGGTCTGACTCCTTACGATCATTTTTATGGTTTCCTGCATATGTGAAACCCATGCAATTTCCCATGCAAGGAAAGATTCACATGGCCACTGGCAAAAGGGTGCTGCATTTTGTTTCTTGCCAAAACAGGCATCTTGGGATTCTCAAACGCACGGGAATCCAGCTCTCTGACATCTATATTGTAACACTCATCTATAACTGATGTTCACTTCTCAGCCAAGAAAGCGACTGCTTATTGCCAGCATACGAGGAATCAACATCATTATTCCATGTTGTCAGCACTGTCTCTTAAGCTCATTAGCTTCTGAGGAGATGACTAAAGATCAGGCATAGGTTACTTTATGTTGTACACAGAGAATTGACAAATCATTAAAATTTGTACTACCAAGCTCTGTAAGATGGCAGAAGGGTCAAGTAAGTGAGCTCAGCAGTCTCCAAATTCCAGTACCCTTATGTGATGTGCCAGATCCACTGGGGATTAAATTATGTAAATTTATAGGCAGTCCACTTAAGATTTTCAGATCTGTCCCTTAAGCATCTCTGAACAAGGTCGCTCTTGGCAAGGACAAAATATAGCAGTTCTCTTACAGTTCTCACATATACCATCCAAAATTACTTATGATGCAACTTGTGGCCTTTTTTATTCACAAAAGCGCCTTAGGGATACTGTCTTTTCAGTGCTGCATTTGAGGGCACCACGTTTGCCAAGGGACTTCTTGATACCTCTGTCAATCAGAGGCAAAGATCCTTGTGAGTTATGGTAGAGAGTAAAACTAAAGCCAGGCTTAGATATATTTATGAACTCTTGAAAAGCAATACCAGTGAACAAAGTACTTCTTCAGGCCTGATTTTCCCTCAGGTAGAAACATAAGATTCTCATTAGCAAGAGAGTGTTGGAATCCAACTGTTCTGAAATTTGCTGGCTATCAAATGGGCAGCAATTTGTACTGGGCTCTTACTTTACTATGCATGTCTTTCATAGCGCTACATTATTTTTTCCAGATTGCCAGCAGCACTCAAATCTAGACTAAGAAAGAGAACTGTGTTCTCCACTTGATACAGCGGAAAGAAGGGCTTTAAGCCTCTGAAGACGCAAGAAAGGCGCTTACTAATGTGAAACCAATTGTGGTTCCTATGAATTCTGACGTCTAAATTAGGTTTGGCCCACAGGCAAACTCTTAAAGAGCAACAACGCTGTGCAAACTGTCACAGTCCACAGATGGTGAGTAAAAACTGTAGGCAAGAGCACAAAGCAAAACATGCACACAAGGGCTCTTCTAAAGACAACAATCTTGTACACAAGGCATACTTGAAAAAAAGCAGTTTGAACAGCAAGGCAAGCTGGTAGTGAATAGTATTTTAAGTGGGACTGCTTATTTAATTAACACAATCATAGTGATGCATCACTGTAATCATTAGTCTTTACCTAGGTACACAGGCAAAAAAGCATTCATTTTTAAACAGATGGTTCTACCCATAATTACATCAGATCACTAGTTTTATGTTACATGGGATTTGTTATGAATGTACAAAAGCAACACAAAAACTTAACATATAGAAAAAGAACAGAATGTATTGGTCATTTAAAATAAATGTTAAGAGGTACTGAGATGAAAACAAAAGCATCCAGAAAAAAAACAAGGTTTGAATGCAATTTCATTACTTGTACGACTTAATCACCCACTGGTTCCAATGACTGCAAAATGTCATCATAAATTAATTAATTTTCCAAGAAAACTACACTGTGCATCAACTTTAGCAGACAAACATAAATCTCGTTAAGCAATCATAGAAAAAACTTCACATTCAAACCTCCCAGAAATAACACAGTAGAAAATAAGATGGCAGCAATTCTATCATTTGGTTAAAAATTAATACAAGTTAATTTGTGGATTTTGTTTTGTTTTCCAACTTTCTCAAGAATATAATATCAAATTTTGTTCACTTTTTTTACCTTTGACAGTTTCCAAGGGCTGCCAAAGCCCACAGGGATCCGTCCTGGCTACATTCAGTGCAAAAACGAAACCCTAAAAGACAAATAAACAAAGACCTCAAAACCTCACAGCATCAGCCAACTGTGTTTATCACTAGGTTTAAGAAAAAAAAAAAAAAAAGGCAATTCCATTTGAAACTCAGATACTTATTATTCCCAAAGTATTTAGAAAAAATATATTGAGATCATGCATGGGAAACAAAAAAACTTTAACTGCAAAAGAAGCAATGAGTACCCCCACTCCAAAATCAGTTTATGTGGTATGATGTAGGGTTGGGGGAAGCAGCAGCTAAGCTTTAGGATAGATTTAGTAAAAGCAGTTCCTTTCTCCCCAGTATTCTACCTCAAAAACCACCCTAGTTTAGGAAGTTATTCTTTGTGGGCAAGAATTTTTCATATTGCATAAACACACACATTGGCTGAGCTTGGATTTTTAAACTTTTACAGAATAAGGTTGGAAGGGTGGAGATGCATTTTAGAAATAACTACCTCTGAGAAAAAGTTTAAACCACGATTTTGTTTATTGTTTCATATATTTAATACTCACCCATCACCACACAATTCCTACCAACAGTCGGTTTGGAAAAAACACTAAGAAATCTTATTCTATGTCTCACCAAAACATTTGAGAAGTAAGATTATTTAATGAAGGATGAGATCAAGCCAACCAGCTAGCAAACTAAGTACTAGATAGAGGCCTAACATTAAAGGGAGTCAAATTAACAACCTGTGTTGCTGAACAGAAAATCCCCCTTCCCTTGATTCACCAATTATCAAAGCTTCTACAAACTATTGCCACTGAAAGCTCACTGGGGGAAGCTCACATTGCCTCATGGGGCACACATACCACCACAGGTAGAATGGGGAATAACCTAAAATGGACAGAACCATTTAAACTAGACATTATAACTTTCAACCTACTAGAAGTATTATTTTTGGCAGTAATTTATAGTTTTCTCATTATTAATCACCATATCCTTTTCACAACAGTTTTGAAGTGTTTACTTATTGTTTACTAATAGTTGCATATTTTTTAAATAGCTCCTAATAGCTTTGAAGTGTTTATTAAATAGTTGGAAGTGTGTGCTTATTATTGAGTGGTATAGAACTGAATTTTCCATCCAGAAACGACCTTCCAGTTCCAGGCACTATCCAAGCACAGGTACACTATACTCACAATAGTCTACCTCGCCAATTCAAAGTAGCATTCCAAAGCAAATCTATATTAAGCTATCACCTTATTATGATCATGTCCCAAAGGCACTGGCAGCCTCAAAGACCATGCTTAGAATGACTTTTACAAGGCAAGCCATTTTAAATTTTTGTTACAAACTGAGACTTCGGAGACAGAAGTCTAATAAATTTCAAATACTTGATTACTTTTGCATAATACATATCCTGAAACAAGTAAGAAATCCTATCACCACTTCTAACATTTTGTCTTGTGAACAAACACTGCTTTCATTTTAGCCAAACTAAGCAAAGCAAGTTATATGTACTCTGTTTCAGTAGGTAGCAGGAAATAAGGAAATGCTTACACTACTGAAATCTACTGCAAAAAATATGCAGAGGGATAGTCATCTACTTTGTGGTCTTTTAATTTTCAATTTTCTCTACAGATTTCCAAACACTCCAGGTTTTTAAAAAAAGTAAAAACCGAATTCCTCAACTGAATGTTCTCAGAAAGTGAAACTACCATCCATCTCCCTGAAACATCGCAGAAACACTCAGTAATGTCATTTTAAAACACCATTATTAATCCATGCAGTCTAGTTCACAATGTCTAATGATAGGTAGAGCCAAAGATTGCTGTGGACTTAGCAGTATCAGCATGTGCATTTGACACCTATCTCCTATCCAGAGAGGGCATCAGCCAAAAAGCAAGACTAATGAACTGTCTGTGCCATTTCTGACAGTATGGGATCTGAAGCTAGAAGGTATTAAATACTACAGAAGCTGGCCCAAAACGAGCTTTTCCCAGAAATGGGCCGTTACAGGCTGGATATCATATCACTAGTATCTAGCAAAAGCATTTAAATTTCCAGCCAAACCACTGAATGCTTTTGGACCACGAAGGTCTCCAAGGCAATAAGGGGAACTGTTACTAATTAATGCCAATAACCGGTCCTATCTCATCAAACGACTTCAATCATGAAAAGATATTCCTCCTCTTACTGAAGGAAAAAAAAAAGCCTCTAATAAGTATCTACTTAATTTCTGATAGATATAAATAAGACGAAGGCCGATCATTCTCTTCCTGTTATTTTGATAAATTTAGACCTTTGATTCTGAAGTATAATAAATTTTAATTAACAAAGTTAAAGCAGTTCAAAAGACCAGAATCTAGCGAAGCTTGTCTGGGGTGAAGACAGGGTGCTGTAGGCAGCTGAGCAGATCTGCGAAGGTATTAAAACGAGCAGAATCTTAGTGTTAAACACAGCCAGAGCAGAATTTAAACACCGTGCATACATCTCAAACCCTCACAGTAACTATCTACTTCTGCCAACAGTCAGTGCTTTAGGAGGCATCAGCCTACTTGCCTGGGCTGCATAGTAAGAATTTTAGCTATGAAAGTAGACACCACTGGATTAGGTAGTCAGCGAATGCTCAGCGGAAGCGAGAGGAAAGGGAAAACAAAACAGAAAAACAAATAAACAAACAACCACACAGCTCCTCAACAGGCCAAAATGGGGAGGGGAAAAAACAACCTCCTCAATCTGCCTAAGAACTTGGACAGCTCTTAACCGAGTACTCTCCCCTGCCCCAGATAACTAGAGCTAACTAAGATCTATTAACTTGCAATAAGAGAAACAATTCATTACACTTGCATACACACTTGGCTTAAGTAAATGAAGTCCTCTCTCAGCAGCCTGGAACCTTCTGCCCACATAGTGCAACACTTTCACTGTGTGTTGCTGTGTCACAGCTGTAATATAGCCATTTACAGCAATTTGCTGGGTTAGAAAATGTGTGAAACAGCAGAATGCCCATTGTGTCAGGACTCCTAAACCAGCTTTTTCCTAAAGCGTGGGTTACGACTGCAAGTGTTTTCCACGTTTGCACTCAAAAGTTCAATACTTACAGCAAGCGCCTCCTTCCTGGTGGCCTCACATAAGCTGCCTCCGTAGGGATACCACAGTACTGCCGGTGCACAGGCCTGAAAGGAACAGACTGCAGTCAGGAAGAGATATTCACTTTGGATTCCCTCCCCACACCACTCATCCAAATCGGGAGAAGCAGTAAACGTGTAGCACGCGTGACAGGTTTTCCATGAAATACCATTCGCCAAGGTTTTGGGAAGCTCTAAAAATCATATTTCTATTCACAGTGAGAAAGAAGAATCGTGTCAAACTGCTTTCTCATATAAGAGCTGAGACCACCAACGCAGGTGTGCTCAAGGAAAGTGCTTGTACAACGGTACAAGAAGCGTGAAATATTAACTATGATGTATCAGAAGGAATCCCGGTACTTAGAAATCACTGGGTATTTAATCACATTGTGAAAGAAAAACAGTACTATCTCATCATCACTGAACTGGTTAACATTTAAGCCCATTTCAAATTATTCAGAATCTACCATCCTGCCCTAACCACAGCTAGGAAGAGAAAACTTCAATTTTGGTTTTGCAAAAATATAATCAACTTCTAGGAATGTGAAAAGATCCAAAACGGTTGGTTTGCCACTATACAGCCAGTTTAACACTGTAGAAGTTACAGAATCCCAGCTGTACTTTTTTAAGCAAAAAAAAAAAAAAAAAAAGAGGTTGTAGGGAAGTAAGAACCAACAGGTGGCTTGTTTCTAAGGTCACTGCATCACCTCGCTGGCTCCTGCTCATGCTTCATGTGCAGCATTACGTAGCGACAAACTGTTCCTGTCACCAGACTAGTTGCCAAAAACTATTTTATCTGAATTTCTGGTATTTACTAAGAGCTTTCTGGACATGTTTTCCAAGCACTCAATTTCTGACTAGCAGCTATACATTAAGAGACAAAAATGAGGGTCTTTGTTATTACTGTGGTTTAACCATCCCGTGGCTCACTGGGGAAATGTTTGACAGCAGCAAATTAAGTTTAAATCTCAGTCCTGACTTACATACTGGAATGATTCTACCAAAGCAACCAAAAGCATGTTCTTTGCTCTGAAATCCTCAGGCTGCCTAAAAACACGTCACAAAAATCAACTGCTGACATAACTACATACACACACAGACAAAACCACCCCCCCAGTTAGGCCATCAGGGTGCTGGTTTATATTAGTATTTCATATTTTCTCAACTATGGCACGGTCAGAATGGACTATCAGTCACCAAGAACTGTGCAGGCCTGGCAGTCGTAGTCCTTCCCCACTTCAGTGCTCTTCACTTGTCAAGACTGAGTTAAGCCTTGATTCTACTGAACCAGAAGCAGAGGAGCACGAGGAGACACGATGCTGGTGCCAGTACATTAAGCACTTCATCCTCCCAAGGCATCGAGAACCATCTCTTCTCATTAGTTACATGGAAGGAAACACAGAAAATGCACTTCAAAGAGAAAAGAACTAAAGACACAAGTCCTTAAACAGAGCAGCCAGAAAGAGATGGAAAAGCAGAAATACTCCGCTTTCTATGGAAAATCCAGAGAACAGCACTTGGCTATGGCAGCTGAGCCCGCCGCAAAAATCACCATGACATTCTACAGCAAAACACAACGTGGGATAAAATACCTATCATGTTTAACTCTGCGCTGGCTGCATGACTTCATGCTTTGTTCAGTGCATTTATTTCTTTGTACTAATGTTTCTGTACTGTATGGAAAATAGGTCAGTTGTCAATGCAGGTATGACACAGCTATTTTCAACACGGTAAGTAACTGTAACTGGGAAGAGTTGTCACTTATACAGTCCACGCTGCCCTAAGATCATAGGAAGGAAAGGACTACACAGAAGCAACATCATTAACCCACATGTACAAAACACTAGCCTCAGATCACACCACTTGCATCCTTTTACATCAAAAGCCAAAACATAAATTAGCAAAACCACTTTCATAAAATGAAACACTGCTGAAGATCAATATTTTTGATGAGTGGATGACTATACGCCAAGAGCTGCTCTGTAAAAGAATTACCAGGTTTCTTTCATTAAAACTCTCTCATTTTGATTCAACATTAAAGAGAAAATGGGAAAAAGTAGAGAAAAAAATCTTCCTTTTTCAAATCTCACTTACACGGCTATTTCCAAATAACTAGTAATATTTGTAAATGTATGCCTATATAACTTAAAAAATTAAAGCTCTCTTAACCTGGTCAACTGGCTATTAGACCATCCTATTTGAGAGAAAGGCAGCCTGGGCTGCACAAAAGTGCTTAAGTCAGACTGCCTCTCATTCAAAAAAATCCCGTTTCCAGTTCTTGGGATCTGAAGGTACTCTTAAAATATGAGCTGAAAGTAGAATGATGTGCTGCTGTCTTCTCAGTTTTCAGAAATAGTCACACAGGTGATGTTTAGGGTGCTAAATGCTCCTCCTTCCAATTAAGTAAAAATAAACTGAAAAAGTATTAAAAAAATCTACTTATCTTACTTATCTTTTTTGCCACTTTCTAATTCATAAAGAATGATAGAAGTTATTTTTTCTTCATCTTTTCTTTTACAGTATCAAGAATTTCCGCTCCGAGGGTCCCTGCCTTAGCTAAGGAATCCACACTGGAGGACAGTGGACGGGCAGGGTATTTGCCTCGGCTCTGCCGCAGCAGCCTACCCTGCATCCCACATCGCTCCTCCGTTGCCACCAAGGTCAAGTCCCAACTATAAATAGCCCAACACTGCCCACTGGTTGTTTTCCACACTGCTTTGTCCCACTCTGTCCTTTCAGTCTGCCTAAAAACACTCTCAACACTATTTCTGCTTTGTCCCTCATGTCCCTCAAGACTCTACCACAATGTTTATAGAAAGTTTTTGAAAGTGAGGCTGTAGAGATTACTCACCTCACTGGTCAGCACTGTCTTCCTGCGGACATACCTGTGTCCATCTGTCTCTCCCCTTTAGCTGTGAGCTCTGTGAAGCACCGAATTCCCACTGCCTCCCCCAACTTTTCAGGGGCAGCAGGAAAATAGAGGTTTGGTGATGACTACAGCAGAGCAGCTAAAACATAACACAGATACTAGCCAATTTTTCACGCTAAATCAAGGTTTTACTCAACTAACATCATAATGAAAACAATTTTTTAGCAAAGTTCAAAGCAAACTATCATTATACAACTCATTCATTTCAATTGCTCATCCCTTATTCTCTTAGCTCTTACAAGCTAAAGCTTTCAGGAAAAAAGAGAGAGAGAACAATTTTACACTGCTCCTATTACCTGCTTCTGCTTGATAATGGTAGCAAGGCTGAGAATCCAAACGGCACATGGACTCATCTGCCAGGTGTATTCAAATTCCAGGTATTTTAATGGTGCTTTGAGTGGCAAAAGTGGGGATGTAGTCAACAGGTTGCAAGTGCCAGCCAGCTATTTCCACTAGCCCTCCCAACACAATAGAAGCAAAACCAGTGTAACACTGGCAAGTCTTTATTTCAGGACATCCACATAATAAGCTATAGTCTTCAGCATACAGATGACTTGAGTTTGGATGACAGGAGACCAGACAAACATTTTCAACCATCCTAAGGAAAAAGACAACATGACTGAGAGGTCTACTTCTCAACAGCTCAATCTGAAAGCTATAATTAACTACTTTACTACTGATGGTCCTAACAATGTCATCCCATCAAGCTGTTTATAACATGAAAGACAACGCAAGATGGAAGGTTGTCTTTTGAGCCACAAGCCACAGCCCTCAGGAGCTACAGCAACAGCACGGTTATCAAAAACAGCAGTAAGAAAAATAAAGCTGATAAGGCAGTAAGCAGGCCTGAGCAGAGAGAAAGGGGTGGAGGAGCTGTGTACTGACATTAAAATCGAAATTTCAACAGTTGCAGAAGTTATTTATAAAGCACTACTAAAACCGTTCAAACACATCATCGCACTGAAAGATACTGCACTTTCAAACAGTTCAGTTCATTTTTTTGCCCTACATTAGGAGGGTACCCAAGTTCCCTCCTCTTGAGCTCTTATTTAAAGGTGATCTTCCCAGCAAGAGCTGCATTGATAGAAAATTCACACTGATGTGGCAATGCTGATGCTAACTCCTACAAGCCTCATGATGCTACTTCCTCATGTTTGAATATACCCTGTTAGACACAGGGAAGCTTTAGATCATGAAAACATTACATCCTGTAATGCAATTTGGGGTAGACCTCTATAACCAGTGTGGGCTGAGACAGTGCCAGGGCCAGGCTACTGAGGCTTAAGTAACAATTTGCCTTAAAAAAATAAAAGTTACTTGTTACTTATGCCCTGATTTTTTATTTTAAAGAACATTCCATATTCAACACATTTTGAATCATTATTATTTTTTTTTACACAAAGACTTCCTACTAATATGATTATATATGCAGAGAGAAAAGTCTGAAGTCTTAATACGATTAGTGAAAGAAATAAACAAAAAAAATAGTAAGTTGTCAAGCAAACAAATACAGCTCATTATTGCAAATAAATATGAGCTTTCAGTAGAATCAGCTACCAAGCTTGGCTATGTCAGTATTCATAGCTTGACATCTGCACGAACAGTGCTCCTCAGGTATTTATGCACCTCCAAATGGGACAGCAAGTTCCTTTTCAAGAATTTGCTCTCTATTTAACAACGTTGTTCCAATCTTCTTTAAAGAAATGAAGCAACGCACTTATTTTTTTTATGAGTAAATTCTCTCTTTTTTAACTTCAAAAGGAAATTTTAAATTATCAGCAATAAAAATCTTGGTCTTCAACACTGCAAACTCTGGTAAGTATGTTCAATTATAACTACTGAATGTGGAACGGCTAAAGAGGAAAGTTTTGGACCTGCTCAAGCACCTGCAAGCTCAAGGCCTCGGCTTTCACTCTTTTGGAGTTAGCACAAGGTACTTTTTCAACATTCACATCTGATTTCCCAAAAAGCGGCATTTAGAAGACAGGCAAGCAGTACTTATTATTTAGCTCAAGATTATGCAACTCTCCCTTTCGGCTACTTACCTGTGATACGTGATGATTGATTTTCAGTCAGACTATCCTACTGTACCTAAAAACACAATTCTTTGAATTTGC